GGGGGGGGGGGGGGGGGGTATTCGGGTGGGTTGGATGGATAGATAGATAGATAGATAGATGGATAGATACTGCAGTCGATGCATCTATCGAAAGATAAAGATAAAGATAAAGATGGATCACCGGATCCTATAGTAGTCGGTGGGTGGTTTGTCGTCTGACTCTGGTGGTTGGTTTTTTATAAGATGAGTTTTTGTGGAAGTGTTGGTTGGTTGGTTGGTTTGATTGTTATATAGACGGTTGGGGGTTGTGAAGGAAGGTCTGGATTTATGTCTTGGAGATTTAACATTGATGGCAAGGTTTTCTTGGGTTGGTTGTTGGATGTGGGGATGTAGAGTATTGTATTTTTAAAGGATCTTTGTGGTTTTTTGGGGAGGGAAGGGAAGGGAAGGAGATTTCTTTGAAATTGTAAGTTGCTGAAAGGAGAGGTAGATCGTGGGTTTGTGGGGTATTTACTATATATATTGTTACTCTTTACAATCGTTATTAAGGTCATGTCTTCAAAGCTTACTGAGGTTAACGACTGCTAGTTATAGATTTCTGGGTAGTTGGACATAATACATGGTGTCACAAGGTACTAGTAACATTATATATGATCATGCTGAGGATACTCCTTTCACCTCAATTAAAAAAGGACACAAAGCTTCGGGAGTTTCTGATACTTTGCTTCTGAACCTGAACAAAGGGGTGTATAAACCCCTCGAAAAGATGTGTAGAAGTGAGGAATATCAGGTATTATAGCACCAGGAAATCAGAAAGCTGAAGAATGGCTACTCATAATAATGCGCTGACTGGGATTCTTTTGTTTTCTGTTTTCTGTGGAGTTTTGCCACGTACACTGGATAGGGAAAGGAAAGGAAAGTAGATAGATGCCACGTACGGTCGAAGTTAAATATAGATGATGAAAGTTTTGTATGTGGAAGAGGATTTATAAGTTAGTTATTCATCTGTCCTTCCTGATTCTTTTGAGGGAATTGAGATGAGTGAAAGGAGGAGAGTCAAGGTGTACCGTACCTCTTCTTTTCAATGAGATGAGGAAATTTTTATGGATAAGCTGTGATATGATATTGAGGGGTCTTATCTAAACCCAATCCTTTGCAGAATAAAAAGAGGATGTGATGGGATTCCTTCGTTCTTCCTTCCTGATTTCTCGGCTTTTGGTAAATGCGGAAATGATGGATATGTACTCAAGTGATAATAATTGAAAGATATTAAGGAATGACAAACGACGTCGACGCCCTTCTTATTTCCTGAATCAGTGGGTAGTTACCGCAAATAATTGTGAAAAGATGGATGGTGATGAGGTTGTTGGTGTGATTCCTTCACTTTTAATTTAATGGAACTAGGAACTTCCGCTACATGGTTGGGAATGGGTAGGATTTTAAGGGGGATATAGGAGGATTGGCAATTTTATAGAAGAGTTTGAATTCGGGAATGGTTGGTAGAGCCTGAGCTCCTCCAGAGAAAGAGGAGAGAAATGACATGCGAGGAATCCACGATACGACATCCTACAGAAAAGAAGAAAAGTCCGAGCAATAGGAGATCCTAGTTCTGTATCCCCCCAATCTCAGAGATTCGAATGGGACACGAAATCGACATCCACATCCACATCTACATCTACATAATCCCCCACCAATCCCCTTCATCATCCGCAACCGAAACACCTAAATCCAACGGCTCAATCTCTTCATCTGTATACCCCCTTCTATCTCCATTTCTCATCTCATCCTCATCCCCTCCTCCACCTCCTTCACCAACCAACCCCCGGATCCGCTCCTCCATCTCCGCACGTAAACTCATACTCCCATCTACGGAATCCGAATGGATAAGAACCACAAATCCATCATCCCTCGTCTCTAATAGCGCACGGATCCTCTCTGACCCTGCGTCACCGAAGACCCATGATGGGGAGGAGAAATTGATGTGTTGGAGTTGGGGGAGGAGGGAGGCGCTGCTTTGGTGATGGGGGGGAAGG